TTAAAGACAGAAAACAATAGAAATTATGTTTAAAAGTGGGTTAAAAGCTAAAGTCATTCAGCGATTCATTGTTTATTTCATTCTTTGTTAAAGTGGTATTATGAGCGATCTGCACAGTGGTCTGAATCTGGTAGCGTGAGATTAATTGCTTTTATCTTCTCCTCCCACTTATCTCTTAGAAATCTATACATTTCTATCATCTAGAAAGAGCCCTGACTAGCAAATGAGGGAAATTCTGTGTTTTCCACATTTCATGAAGCCATATGCAAATTGCACTAAATAGTATATGTTTAAATTATTTGATTCAACTAAGAGTCCTCAATGAGAAAACACTGCTTTGTCCCTCTGGTGAACATTTCTCCCCTTTTTAGTGGCTTAGCATTACATGTGTGATTCAAAGCAGAAGTGGAGATTGTTATGCTTTTGTTTCAGAAGGCAGAGCTTTTTCTTGGAAAGAAACCTCCATTTCTGGATTGCACTACTGCTCTGCTAATAGTTGGCAAGATCATGCAAACTAGTGGTGACCACAGCAATCTGCTAGCATCAAACATTTATTGTAGATTTTGTTATGTTCAATTTGGGGTTTGCACTGACACAAAAACCAAAGAAAAAAAATCAACTAAGAGTTTGCTCCATTGTTATAAAATCACATGGCTCTACACCCTGTGACATTTGTTCATTTTTTTTCTTGTATGTAATAAAGAGAGAACAGTCCTTATCATGTTTTATATGTAATATAAAAGGGCATTTGATTACCAATTATGTTCCCAAAAATATAATTACATACAGATTCTGATAAAATACAATGAATTTCAATTTAATTGTAGGGAAATTACACCCTTAGTTGTGGGCTGTGTTAAAAAAGATTGTGGCAGAAGATTTTTGCTATTTATGAAAATTGATCACTTCGCTTGCTTTTTAGCTGGAGCTCAGTCTGGATTCATTTTTTGCTTCCCAAAAACTGCAAATTTCCAAGAAAATACTTGCTTTTGCTTTTTTTTGTCTGAAGAAAAAAAACAGAATAATCAACTACACCATGAGATGCAGTGAGAGAACGCCAGGACATGTGACAGCGGGCAAGAAGAGGTCCATTTAAAAAAAAAAAAAAGACTTGAGGTATAGTAGTATTGGTAACTGCACATCCTTTTTTCTGTTCCACCTGTCTTTTCAGCCACAGCCAAGTGTTAAATTAGGACTTTCTATTTCTGGTGTAACCATAGAATGGGGCAGCAATGAGGTCACAAAGGTGCCAAAGGAAAAAAAATATATATCTTTAGGGATGTAGGATGTTTCCTTTTTTGTATGGTTTACTCACTTCACTATCTAGCTGGCTGATGAGGGATCTTGTGTTTCAGGTGAAACACAACTACAGGCTTGAGTTCACTTCAGTTCAAACAGTCACATTGTGCGGATAATTTAGCAACAGAACGTGAACCCTAATACGCAAACAATTCAATTTTAGGTTTGTAACTTTGGCTCTGGTTACAGTTAAGCCTGGTGTTAAACGCGTATTAGCTGTTTTGAGTACAGTGAGTCTTTGGGGAATGAATGCAAATCAATGCAACGTCCTCCTAAGTGACAAAATAAGTGGCTGTGCGAGTGTGACTGAGTGTGAGTGAGTCACCTGATGCCCGACGCTGGCGGACGAAGTTGATTACCCACACATCCAATTCTATTAAAAGGACACGGTCATAATCTCTAATCTCTTCCAAGTCTGGCGGAATAAGAGAGCAGGTTAATCTGGATTACACGTCAGGACCGTGAGCTCACAGCCCAGGCAGCTGATGTGCCAACGAGCCAGGAACAGGAGAAAAATAATGAACACTAACATAAAGATAGCTATAAAATGAGTTTACGCTATATGATTCATACCTGAAGATAAAGACAGTAGAAATAACCAGTAAATTAATTTGCATATGGCGGCACTAGTGCAAAACTTCATCCCCCACCCCCCGAAAGTAGAGGGAATTTATTAGAGGGAATCCCAGCTGAGAAAAGACAAAGAACAACACAAGACATGCAGAAGAAGAACAACGTGTGATCTATGCCTATAGGATATGTATGTAGGATATCATCTAGTAATAAGCTTATGATTTACAGAAGATTTGAATACGAGGAACACACAAAAAACATGTGCATTCTTCAAGGTGCATTAAGACACCTGCACTGTCCAGGCACTCATCTGAACCAGAGCAAACCTCCCACCCACCCGCCCGCCCAATTAAATGGAAGAACATAAGTTTAAACAAGCATGAATTGAGTGGAAATGTGAATTAAGAGGGGAAGTTTACGCATAAATCACAACTCTAATGAGCCTCTGGATGGCTGTGGTCTGGTGGCATGTGATCTGTATACCCTGCAGCTGTGATCGTGGCACAAAGGGACTGCCAAAGACTTTCAAAAGTAAAAGTATTAATCACCAGTCACAGTTGAGCAGGCTACAAGCAAAAACTTGGCAACTGGCAGGAATGTCGGATGTCCTGCACATTTCACTGCATAACCTACATACCTTCGAGAGGAATTGGAAGGGAGGGAGTGAGTTTGGGACCGACGATTTGGTGGACAAGCAAGGCTTTTCTTTACATGCACACATGGTTTCCAAGCAAGTGTTTTGCGCGCCCCCCGCAATTTCATGACTTTTATGAAAAACATCCTCTAGTTGACAACTTTTCATCCTCACCACTCAAAAGTGGTTAAAGCTCCCCTGCAGCAGCAGCAGCGGTTTAGCCTCAGCTGATACGCCTCGTGTGAGGAGAAGCAGCAGCAGCAGCGGTGCTGTGCGAAGCTGCAAAGCCATCACATATACAAACCTGTTGACTGTGTCTGTCTGACGACCTGACGGCTATTTATCTTCACATCTACGGTCTTTTCCACCCTGTTTCCCCCGCAGTGAGTGAGAGTGACAGAGAGAGAGCCTGTGCTGTACTGGAACTTTCTCTCTGGGTATGCTTGCTCTACTCTATCAGCTGACTGAAAAACTATCCGGCTAAAATAACAGGTTAACACTGAGTGTGCTGTTTTTGGGGAGCCGAAACTCATTTTCAAACTGCATCCCGAGGCTTCTTTAGCCGAATAAAAACGGGGTCACACTTTACGGCTAAAAATACCTGTCTATAGCTATATTTGGCTTGGCTGGATCACAATCACAACGCTAAAATAGTCGGGCCCGCCCGACAATGAATAGGATGTCGGCTATCTCACTGTCTCCGTCGGCCAAGAGCTAAAATTAGCAACAAGGCTTGCGTCAATCACGAGCCTCAGTGCGTCAAGGCATTCCCCGCCCCCAGGGGCTGATCATTGGTCGGAATTAGCACGTTGACTGAAAAATACGCGCCTTGTGATTGGCGGTTGAGAATTATTATTCCCGGCGTCTCCGGAGGCGTTTTTTAATTTTGAGGTTTGAGAGCGCGCAGAAGCGAAACTGATAGCTGCTTCTCACATCCCGTTCAGTGTCTGCTGCCTTCGCTGGCTGTTTACAGTATTTCCCTACTCAAGACCACATTAGCCTCTCCACAGTTTTAAATGTGAGTTTCAAAATTAGAGAGAGAGGGATTTAAGTCCACTCCAATGCCATCCTGGCTGAGCTTTTTATGTTTTATTGCTATACAGACATTAATAAATTATATATTTGACTTCCAGTTTCACAAATCAGGTCATTTCACCAGTCTTCAAAACTGTAATCAACAAATTTTTGCACATATATTTATTTTAAAACATATTTTTTTAAAAACAGCCTTAGCTCATCCAGCTCAACCCACTTAAAATATCCATGTATCAGGGCTTTTCTTGATGTTGTTATCTTTTACCAAAATAAGGCTGTGGGATATTACCTTTTTGTGGGATATTACCCTTTTTTAAAACATATTTATCTGCATTTCTCTTGGAAAAATAACCCAGTTATAGTCTGAGCTTTAGGTGGTGATTTTTCATTTAATGCCTTTGCCTGAAAATTGTTTTCAGACTATGGGCATGAAGCCTGGTGAGACATGCAGACACTA